CAATCCGGCTCGCGAGCCGACTCGGGCTCGACTCGTTAATGGGCTCGACGAGCCGAGCTTATCGAGCTCGCGAGTCGAGCTCGAACACGAGTTCGAGCTCGAATGCTAAACGAGCTCGAGCTCGGACACTGGGCTGATCGGCTCCTTGGCTCGTTGAGTAGCTCAGGTCGAGCGTGTCGCGTCGCGTCTGCGGGAGCGGGCGGGATCTGGCGCGGAACCGAGGCCGAGCGCGGGAGCGGGAGCGGGATCGGGCGGAACCGAGGCCGGGTGCGGGAGCGGGCGGAACCGAGGCCGGGCGCGGGAGCGGGCGGAACCGGAGCGAGGCCGGATTCGCGTACGAGATCCGCTCGACGGGCGCGGGAGCGGGCGGAACCGAGGCCGGATTCGCGTAAGAGATCCGCTCGACGAGCCGCTCGACTCGACTCGTTTCCTGAGACGAGTCGAGCTCGAGCTCGTCTTTCGAGCTCGACTCGAGCTCGAGCTCAGTATTTGGCAGTCGAACTCGACTCGAACACTCCCTGGCTCGAACTCGACTCAACTCGTTTGCACCCCTAATGGGGCCACTTGACCCCATTGGCCTAATTTTTTTTATATGTTCTGTTCTGATAATTTTATTTTTATAAAAAAATAAATCTAAAACATAACTACAACGCCAGCTATTCACTTATTTCTATTGTTAGAAGAAAAGATAAATGTATTGAAAGTTGAAACTTACTATTTTAAATTTGTTTTGAACTCGTTTGCACCCCTAATGGGGCCACTTGACCCCATTGGCCTAATTTTTTTTATATGTTCTGTTCTGATAATTTTATTTTTATAAAAAAATAAATCTAAAACATAACTACAACGCCAGCTATTCACTTATTTCTATTGTTAGAAGAAAAGATAAATGTATTGAAAGTTGAAACTTACTATTTTAAATTTGTTTTGATAGATCTTATGTGTTGTCTTGTTTTGGAATTTTTATTTGGTCCGATGTCCTGACATAGCTCTACATTCGGACGCCGGTAAAATAGTGCCACATGCTCTTACCCTTTACCGCGCGGCCCGACAACCCGACCCAGGCCGGACCCGGGATTACTATGTATTGGCTGATTTGTGCAGACCGGGGTATTGCTAGGTATTGCTCGATTTTGCTCGGCAATGACGAGAAATACCATTATGTCAAGACCAATACATAGTAATACAGAGCAATACCCCGGTTTTTCGGTATTGCTAGGTATTGGTCTTGACGGTGCGGTATTTCTCGTTATTGTCAAGCAATACCTAGCAATACCGAGCAATACCTAACAATACCGAGCAATACCTAGCAATACTTGAACATAGCAATATCGGGTTCCGGTCCGGGTCGGGTCGTCGGGCCGCACGGTAAAGAGTAAGAGCACGTGGTGACATGTTATTGACCTCCGGATGTAGAGCTACGTCCGGTGTCCGGACCTAATAATTGTTCCTTGTTTTGAGTCTATAGAATTCTATAAATAAAACTTTAAAGAATGAAAAAAAAATGAAAATAAAATTTTAATTTTCTTCTCTTCTTCCCTTTAAATGTTGGATGTGTATTCTTTGCATGCTTTACAGGACCTGATGGAGTAATTTCAACTTCTTGTAGTGGCTTAATTTTTATTCTTACCATTTTTGGTTGTTTGTGAAGTTCTGCTCTGACTCTTTATTAATAGAGGTTGTTTGTGAGTGGTGAAACTATTTTTTATTATTTTGCATATGATCTAAGAAGTGTGAGTGGTGAAATTATTTGTACAATTTAATTTATTTTTTTTTAATATGCTGGTAATTTTGTGATGAGAGGGAGATCGATGCGGCATTTTCAAACAATTATAAATGAACATCATTATAAAATTGAATTATATTATTCAATTATAAATATGTAATTTTAAGAGCTTATGATGAGATAAATACTGAGTTACTTATGTGTGTTACTTGCTTGAATTCACGTAACTCATACTGAGCATTTGAAAAATAAAAATTGATATGTCTAACAAATCAATTTTATTAGATGTATATCTCATTATATTCATATGATATCTATTGATGCATTCAAAAATTTAAGAATTAGAAAATTTACACAAAAATTGGTGAGGACGAAGAAAATGATATTTATCATTTGGTGCTCTTATTTAAAATCTTGCTCTGATATTGTCAATTGTTACAATAACGGTCGAACAAAAATTATCCGATATAAAGATTATAAAGAGTTGTTTGCACAATCGTATGGGAGACTCTTGGATGAATAATTGTTTGATTATTTATATTTAGAAAAAGAAATTTTTAATAATATTGATAACATGTGATTGTAGAATTATTTCAAAATATGAAGACTTGGAGGGAGAAACTGTAGGTGGCATGTAAGAAGAATATGAACATCATATGCTCTTAAATATAAATTTTTCTTTATTATATAATTTATCTTTTTGTAATGACAAGCATAACAATTTTTTTTTAACTAATGACGCCGGTCCCAAGCCCATATGAAAAAGTTGGGGATATTTTTAGGATGCGTAATTTGTGCCCCGATATGAAAATTAAAAAAAAAACTACCACAATGAAGCTTTATTAATAATAATTAAATTTATGTTGTAGTTAATATAGATTTAAATATAATCTAAATTTATAGGCTTCTAAATCAATCAAAATGAATGCAATTTTTTTAAAAAAATAATATCATGAATTTTATAAATTTTAATTTGTGCCCAAATTAATGATAAATATGATATTATAAATAATAATAATTTGAAAAAAAATTAAAAATTTTATGAAACATATTTGATATATTTTATATAAAATATAATGACTTAATTTTTAACTATGAAATATTTAATTTGGAAAGAGCATTGCTAATTTTTATTAGGGGTGTCAATATTTGACACAACCCAAAAATTCGAGCCCGACCCGACTCGAATATTTCATGTTCAAGTCAACCCATTTGGAAAACTAGTAGGGTTCGGTTTTCAAATCCTGATTTTAAGTCAACCCAAAAACTTGAAATCAACTCGAAACTGACCTGGGACACGCTAGCAAGCGCACGGTGTCCCCTGCGCTAACACGCGCGCTCTTGCTCGCACCCGCACATGCACCCGTTCCCACACCTTGGGTTAAGGTTGGTCAAGTATGATTTTCTAATATGTTTGTCTAATATGATCCGATTAATTGAAGGCGGCTCAATTTCGAGTTTGAAGTTTGACACGAGCCTAACCTAGAAAATTATTTTGGCACTCCTAATCTGAATAAGCAATAGTCGTTATTGGTTGATAATATTATATTTAAATTATCTATGAAGTCGGTGCGTAGGTCCCAAACATCATAGGTGAATCATTCATTTACAGGACAAAAAATTACGTCAGATGTTTACGACGTGTAATTTGAATGGAAATTTTTTTAATGGGAATGATGCACCGTTACTATAATATAATAATGTTAAAATATTTCTTGTCTTATGCTTCTCTAACATATAAAAAACCTGTAAAAATATTAAAATTATATCAATTTAATAAACATAAAAATATATATTGTCCATAAATCCCCAGAAAAATTCCCTTAAATATCTTTTTTTTTTTTTGATATTTAGGTCTATTAAGCAAACTCACACGCACATCAAATAAGCAAAACTCGAACCCAAGACCTATTTAAGATAAACTCACACACACATTACATAGGCCTACCTCAGATAAATATTTCATTTATTATGTTTCTATCATCCTGATTCACACTCTCATATTTATTTTTGTTACTATTTAATTAAAACTAAAAGAAAAAAAAATATTTAAAATTATTTATGTATACAATGTGTACACTCACAATTCAGACGTAACTCGACACCCGGGACTCCGCACAGAATAATCTCCCCAACAAGGAAGGAGAAGTAGAGGAGGGGTGGGGATGTTCAAGGTCTTGGAGGATGCGGGACGGATATATATATATGTGTGTGTGTGTATGATAAAATGTAACTACTAATTTTATGAATGTATTTTTCTTGAAAGTTGTCAAAAAAACTCTCTAGATTTAAATAAGCTCTTCTTATCTTAGATTTGAATGTATCAAAAACTTTGAACTCGTCTTAGATTTGAAGTTATCAAAGATCTTGAACTTTTCTTAAATTTTAAGTAGACAAAGACCTAAAGTTTTTTCAAACTCGAGGTTGTTAGAGACCCTAAGTTTATCACAGATGTGAAGTCATTAAAGAGTCTGAACTCATCTCAAGAATGAAATCACCATAGACCCTAAACTCATCTTAGACTTGAGGTTTCCGAATGGTCTGAACTTATCTTAAATTTGAGATATCTTGAACTCATGTCACACTACATGAATACTATAAATTTTTTATTGGTGATCTAGTAGCAAAGCAACTTATTTATAATAACAAAATGAAATCAATGACTAAATCCATTACTAATCAACGACTAAATCCATTACTCCGTCAGTCATTATTTCATCTATCGAAAGAAAAAATTGTGACTATATCTATAAGTTACAACTATTTGTAACTGAAGAGTAGTCAAAAAATGTACCCCAAAAAACCTTGGAA